TTCAGCTCCCAGGTGGCAGAAGAGACTAGTCTGTGTGTCTCCAGGTGAGACAGGAGGGGCTCAGGCCAAGCTGGGGCAGCACAGGTGAGAAGTGGCTCTTTGGAGGTTCAGGGGGCTCCCGAGGACAGTACTGTCCTGTCCCGTCTTCCCAGGCCTCATCAGGTAGAGGGCTCTGACTGGAGAGCAGGCTGGGTGAAGCTTTTTCTTCTTCTTTTTTCAATTGAGGTAACATTAATTTACACACTGCACAGATGTGAGGTGTAGAGCTTCTCAGCAGGCAACTGTATATTTCACACACACCCACCAGCAAAATCCAATCACAATCCTTCACCAAGATATTCCCTCCACCCTCCGTCCCCTCTGGTGATTGCCATTTTGTTGTGGTTGTTGATTGCTTTTTTCCTTCATATTCCACAAATGAGTACAATCCTATGGTATCTGTCTTTCTCAATTTGACATAGCATAATTCCCTGAAATTCTATCCACATTGTTGAAAATGGCGAGATTTCTTCTTTTTGCAGTATCTGAGTACTATTCCATTATGTGTGTGTATGATGTATGTAAATCACATTTTGTTAATCCTTTCATCTGTTCTTTAGAACTTGGGCTGTTCCCTATTTTGGCTATTGTAAATAGCACTGCAATGAAAATAGGGGCCCTGTCTCGTTTTGAATAAGTGTTTTCTTATTCATCAGGTCAATATCCAGAGGTGGAAATACTGGATCATATTGCAATTCTTTTTTATTTTTTTGAGAACCACCGTATTGTTTTCCCAAATGGCTGCACCAGTTACATCCAACCAATAGTGCACAAGGGTCCTTTAATCCATGTTCCTCACAGAATTTATTTCTTGACTTTTGATAATAGACATTTTTACTGGTGTGAGTGGAAATCTAATTGATTTTTTTCAAATGTTGACCCATCCTTGTGTTGCTGAGATAAACCCCACTCAGTCATGACGTGTGATCCTTTTTCATGTGTAATTGAATTTGGTTTGCTAAGGTCTTGTTGAGGATGTTTGCATCTATGTTCATCAGGGATTGGTCTGTAGCTTTCTTTTTTGTGTGATGTCCTTCTCTGCTTTTGGTATCAGGGGAATGTTGGACTCATGAGATGTGATGGCAGCATTCCCTCTTCCTCTGTTTTTTTGAAGAGTTGAAAATGTCTGGTCCCGGGCTTTGATTTTCAGGAAACTTTTGATTCAAGTTTTAGTGCCTTTGCTTGTAGTTGTTTTGTTCTGAATCTTCCTGACTCAGTCTCAGAAGGTTGTATACTTCTAAGAATTTGTCACTTTTTTCTAGGTTATTTGAGGTCATTCAGTTTATCGACATACAGATATTTGGCATTATGATGTATAGATATTTGGTATTATGATCCTTTATATCCTAATGTGTCTGTTGTAACTTCTCCCCTTTTGTTTCTTATTCTATTTATTAGTTTTTTTCCTTTTTTTCTCCTTGAAAGTGTAGTAAAATACTTGTCTATTTTGTTTATTTTTTTCAAAGAACCATATTTTGGTTTCATTGATTTTTTTTTAATCTGTCTTTGATTTCTCTGTCATTTATTTCTGCTTTAATTTTTTTTTTCCTTTTACTGTCTCTTGGTTTCATTTGTTCTTTCTAGCTGTTTAGATTCTTTACCTGAGCTCTGTCTTGACTTTACGTGTGGCCTGTGTTGCTCTATATTCCCCTCTTAGTGCTGCTTGTGCTGTGCCCACTGATAGGTTGTCATTTGTCTCAAGGTATTTTTAAATTTCTTGGTTGCTTTCCTTCTTAACCCAAGAGTGATTTGGTAGTGTGTTGTTCAATCTTCACACGTTATTCACCCCTGGTTTCCTTTTATATTTCTTCGAGTTTGATAACATTGTGATCAGAGAGATACTTACATGATTTCAGTCATCATGAATTTATGACACTTGTTATGTGACCCAACAAATGATGTCTTCTGGAGCCTATTCCAGGTGCACCTGACAAGAATATTATTTAGCTTTTTGGAGTGTAGCGCCCTATAAATACCTACTCAGCCTGGATGGTCTAATTTCTCACTTAAAGTTATAGTTTCCTGGAGTTCTGTCAGGTGGTGTGTCCTTGATGAAAGTGGAGTGTTGAATTTCTTTACCACTCTTGTGTTGCTGCCAATATCTGTTTTCAGATTTGTTAATAGTTGCCTTATGTATTTTGCTGCTCCTTTGTTTGGTGCATGTGTACTGATGAGTGTTATGTCTTCCTGATTTAGGATTCCTTAATCGTATGATGTTCATCTCTATCTCTTGTTACCTTTTTTCTGGAAGCTTATTTTAACTTATATGGCAGCCCCTGCAATTTTTGGGGGGCCCCATTTTCTTGTGTTTTTCCCAAGAACTGTTTTGATCCAGTCTCCTGGAGACAGCATAAAGTTGGGTTTTATTTTTTGGTACAACCAGTCACTTGGTGTCTTGTTCTTTGGTGAGTTCAAATCATTTCCATAAAGGGTGATGACATGATGACTTACTACTGTGCTTTGGTCTTTAGTCAAATCCAGACAAGAAATGTGTGGTATCTGGCTGGAGCGGGTGGTGCGGGCTCCAGGGTCACTGCCTCCTTGGCCTCCTGGTCAGTTTGGAGGATGGTGTCGGTCCAGAGGCCCAGACATTAGCCAGGTGGCTGGGGTTCAGACCTGGACACTGCCATAACCCCTCAGTCTCCATGTCCTTGTTTCTGAGAGGGTGTGGTGGAGGGGTGTCAGGAGAGTATCACTTCCCAGTTCACAGAGTGCTTGGGAGGGACCCCCGAGGTCACACAGAGAAAGTAACTGCTGAGGTCATGTAGTCAGCCTTCAATCAGCTCCCTGAGCCACTTCTGTTCCTGTGCCCACTTCTGGCTTTCAAGACCCAGCTCCCATGTCCCCTTCCTGCTGAGGAAGGAATCTCTCTGGCTCTGCCTTGGCCCCCTCTGAGGCAGCTACTGCAGCCCTTCTCTCCTTACACATGCCAGGCTGCAGGGCCTCCAGGGCGGGGTCACGTGGTTCTCTGTGACCCCCAGCACACAATGGAGTATGTTCCTGTGCAACAGCATGCTTTGGGCTTGGGGACCCCAAATGCCTGACTGCAAGTCTGTGCCATCAGGGTCACCTGGGGTGTATTTAGAGAGAAGTTCCCAGGCCTGTTCCCAGAAGCAGAGAGTGGGCTCTGGCTGCCCAAGGCTGGGAAGGAAGGAAGATCCTTCCACACTGATCACGACCCTTCAGATCCGCCAAGATCTCGTCCCCATCGCAGCCTTGTGGGACCAGGAGCTGGAGCCTCTGAGTGAGGCTCCTCCTGCCGCCTCCCCCTCAGAGACTGTGAAGACGCCAGATCTTTGTTTTAGGTACAAAGTATGAAGTGATTTGGTACAGACCATTAAAAAAATTAAGACGATAAAGTGATCAGTGGTTATTTTCTCAAAAGAAACAGGTGCTCCAGAATAGCTCACGTGACAGTCAAGGTCCTGATAACAATGAGCTGTCAGGCCAGGATTCCATGTCCCTTGAAGTGTCCTTCAAAATAAACGTGATTGTAAAAACTATTTCTACTGCTTTTAGATTCCATTTAATTTTGCTGTTCATTTATTTTTCACACTATCCCCAGAGCAGTGTCTGCAGAGTCATGGCACAGAGGGGCTCTCTGGCTTCCTGCAGATGTGAGCGGGGCTGACTCTGACCCACCTGCAGGGAGTGGAGACCTGGAGCCCCAGAATCAGCCTCCAGGGTTGGTCTTCCAGGGTGGCCCAGGCCTTGCTCTGCTCTCCTCTTGGAACCCTGAATCTCCCTGGCACCCCAGCATTCATGCACTGAGGGGGGATATTCTGCATTGGGTGTGGAACCAAGCTTAGCTGAGGTTTCGCCATTTTGTATATCCTCCACCTTGATATGTTAGTCCTTGTCCAGCCGCATTCCGGAGATAGTTTCAGCAGTCACAACCCTCACTCCACTTGGTGACGAAAAAGCAGACCACCCCAGCCGCCAATGAGGGCAGTCCTGTCCATAAATGGGACAGCATCTCTAACCGTCCAATCAGTTTGAAACTGTAACCGCGCGCGCCCAAAGTGCCTTTGTAGTAGCCAATGAATAATTGCCAACTTCTTTCAAAGTTCCCGCCACTTGCGACCCTATAAGATGTCCCAGCTTCCTCTGTTCGGGGCTCTCGACCTCTGCCGTTGCATCGGTGCGTGTCGAGGGCCCGGTCTCGAGCCCGTATTAAACTCCTTTGTGCCCTTGCATCGGTTGTCTGTGTCCTTGGGGGCTGCACTGGTCGACGTGGGCACAACATTTTGGGGGCTCGTCCGGGATCGACGAGTGCAGACCCCAACTGCCGAGCAACCGAAAGGAGTTCTAAAGCGCGCAGGTGAGTTCCAACACTCGCCCAGGTAAGCTTCAAGTCTGCAGACCTGTAGTTGTACTTAGTACCTGTATCTTTTGTACTTTGTACCTGTAGAAGCTGTTTTGTACTTAGTACCGTATCTTTTGTACTTTGTACCTGTAGAAGCTGTTTTGTACTTAGTACCTGTATCTTTTGTACTTTGTACCTGTAGAAGCTGTTTTGTACTTAGTACCTGTATCTTTTGTACTTTGTACCTGTAAAAGCTGTAATTGTTTGCAAACCTGAAAATCTGTTCAATAGCCGGGTCAGGCTTAAGTGGACGCACTTGAAAGCCGCCGGCGTGGACCGCGGGAGACGTCCCCGGACCACATGTTAGGAAGGCCACACCCTTTGCGGGGAAGCAGATACCCCTTTTGGGGGCCTTTTGAAAAATCAGTCTTTGGCCTGTTTCTTGTGACGACAGCCACTGTACTTCTAGCATTTGTCATCATGGGTCAATCACCATCTACCCCTCTATCCGTTGTTTTACAGCATTTTAAAGATGTCAGGTCCAGAGGGTCGGACCTCAGTGTAAAAATAAAAAAATCCCCTCTAATCACCTTTTGTTCCTCAGAGTGGCCGAAGTTCGGAGTTGGTTGGCCCCCGGAGGGAACTTTTGATTTACAGATTGTCCGTCGCGTAAAGAAAATCATCACCAGTGAAAGAAAATTCGGACATCCTGACCAACTCCCGTATATCTTAGTCTGGCAAGATCTAGTCCAGAACCCCCTGCTTGGTTAAAGCCATTTTTGTCGTTACAGGCACAACCCGTACTGCCGGCTAAACTGCTTGGGTCCCACCCCAACACCCCGTCGGCACCTGCGGTTTTCCAAGACTCTACCCCGGAGGAACTTCTATTTCCACCACCCTATCATAACCCTTGTAGTAACCCTCCCCAACTCCTGCGGTCGGCTGACCACCCTCCCCCAGAGGCGGGCGGGGCTCGTGGGCAGGGTCCGGCGGCAGGCACCCGCTCAGTGAAGGCGAATTCCCCGGATTCCACCGTCCTGCCCCTGCGTGTGGCAGGATTGCCTAATGAGCAGGGCAACCAGCCCATGCACTACTGGCCGTTTGCGACCAGTGACCTCTACAACTGGAGAGCACAAAATGCACGTTTCTCTGACAACCCTAAAGACCTTGTTAATCTCCTAGACACTGTTCTATTTACTCATCAGCCCACCTGGGATGATTGCCAACAGCTCTTGCAGGTCCTCTTCACCACTGAGGAGCGAGATCGTATACTGACGGCCGCCAGGAAATTAGTCCCTGGAGAAGATGGCACACCCACCACAAACGCGGCCCGCATAGATTTAGTGTTTCCCTTGACCCGACCTGACTGGGATTTTAACCAGGCTGAAGGTAAGGAGAGACTCCGGGTGTACCGCCAGACTCTAATGGCAGGGTTGCGTGCAGCAGCCCGCAAGCCCACCAATTTGGCCAAGGTAGGGGATGTGCAGCAGGGAAGGGAGGAGACCCCCGCGGCTTTTCTAGAACGCCTCATGGAAGCTTTTCGGCAATATACTCCTATGGATCCGGAGGCAACGGAGAACAGGGCCGCGGTGGTAATGGCCTTTGTTAACCAGGCGGCTCCTGACATTAAACAAAAACTACAAAGAATAGATAGGCTGGGAGAAAAATCTATTCGAGATCTTATGGAGGTGGCAGAAAAGGTGTACAATCGCCGTGAAACTCCTGAGCAAAGAGAAGACCGCATCCGCCAGGAAGAACGGAAGGTAAGGGCGGCTGAAAACGCACGCCACACTCGGGATATGGCCAGAATCCTGTTCGCCGTCACTCAAAAGGACGACCCGGGTAAGCTACACCCCTCCCGCCGCCCCAGCTCCACAGGGACAGGCAGGACCCTACAGCGTGATCAATGTGCATACTGCACTCAAAAAGGACACTGGGCCAAACATTGCCCAAAGAAACGGGGAATAACCTCAAACAACCCCCGCTTTCTGACACTCCTGTCCTGGTGCTCGGGGGCACAAGAGATGACAGTGACTAGGACCGTCAGGGCTCGACCCTCCCCGAGCCCCGGCTAACCTTAAAAGTGGAGGGGAAACCCGTTAATTTCCTTGTGGACACGGGGGCACAGCATTCAGTCCTCACGGAACCCTTGGGTAAACTTTCCGGTAAAACTTCGTGGGTGCAAGGGGCTACGGGATGCAAGCAGTATCCCTGGACCACGAAAAGATCTGTAGACCTGGGAAAAGGTCAGGTCTCGCACACCTTCGTTGTAATTCCTGAATGCCCGTACCCATTAATTGGAAGAGACCTTTTAACCAAGGTAGGAGCGCAAATCTCATTTGGACAGGAAGGTGTCGAAATCAAGGACTTTAAGGGCTCTCCCCTACACGTCCTCACGATTTCCCTTCAAAATGAGTACCGCCTTTTGGTGGCGCCAGATCACCCACCCCTTTCTGGGTGGTGGATGGAATCTTTCTCGAATGTTTGGGCAGAAACCGGGGGCGTTGGCCTGGCGTCCCACAGACCACCCATTATAGTCCAGCTAAAGCCTGGGGCTGAACCCATTCGGTAAAACAGTACCCTATGCCTGCAGAAGCCAAGGCAGGAATAACGCCTCATATTCGGAGGCTATTGGACAGTGGTATCCTTAAAACATGCCATTCGTCATGGAACACCCCTTTGTTACCGGTGCGAAAACCACACTCGCAAGACTTCAGGCCGGTACAGGACCTCAGAGAAGTAAATAAACGGGTCATAGATATCCACCCCACAGTCCCAAACCCTTATACCTTGCTGAGTGCCTTGCCACCTACTCATGTGTGGTACACAGTATTGGACTTAAAAGATGCCTTCTTTAGTCTACCACTAGCACCCCAAAGCCAGGAAATGTTTGCCTTTGAATGGCAGGATGCGGAACGGGGCATCAGTGGACAATTAACTTGGACAAGGTTGCCTCAAGGGTTTAAAAACTCTCCCACCCTTTTGACGAGGCCCTTCATGAGGATTTAAGAAAATTCCGCAGCCGATTTCCCGAACTAACTTTGCTCCAGTATGTTGATGATCTGTTACTTGCAGCGGAAAGTGAGCATGCCTGCCGAACAGGAACAGCCGAATTACTGACGGAACTGGGCCAGATGGGATACCGCGTCTCCGCAAAAAAGGCACAAATTTGCCTGCCCGAGGTAATCTATCTGGCTACTACCGCCTCAAAAACGGTTATAGGTGGCTGACGGAAGCCAGAAAAGCTACTGTCTTACAGTTACCGACACCCACCACCAAAAGGGAGGTACGTGAGTTCCTGGGATCTGCTGGGTTTTGCCGGCTATGGATACCTGGATTCGCAGACCTGGCCCAACCCTTGTATGAGGCTACCCGGGAAAAAGTAACTTTTCAGTGGACTCCCCAGATGCAGCAGTCCTTTGAGTCCTTAAAGAGGGCTTTACTGTCTGCACCAGCCCTGGGTCTTCCGGACATTACAAAGCCTTTCCATTTGTTCGTAGATGAGGCAAAGGGCATAGCTAAAGGGGTGCTCACTCAGTCCTTGGGCCCCTGGAGGCGTCCTGTGGCTTATCTGTCTAAAAAATTAGACCCGGTGGCGTCCGGCTGGCCACCGTGCTTACGCATGGTGGCAGCGGCTGCCCTCCTTTTCAAGGACTCCCAAAACTGTCTCTGGGACAAGTTACTTCCATAACCACCCCCATGCGGTGGAAGGAGTCCTCAGGCAGCCGCCAGAGAGGTGGATGAGTAATGCCCGAATCACGCATTACCAAAGCCTATTGCTCAACCCAGAGAGGGTCAATTTTTCGCCACCCACGGGGCTAAACCCCGCCTCCCTCCTACCTGCCCCTGACCTGGAGGCCCATCTAGACTGTGTTGATATCTTGGCCCAGGTCCAAGGGTTACGCCCTGATCTGCGAGATAACCCTCTGCCGGACGGACTGGTTTGGTTTACGGATGGGAGCAGTTTTATCCACGAGGGCCGAAGAGCGGCAGGGGCGGCAGTGGTGTCCATGCAGGAAGTCATATGGGCTGAGCCTTTGCCATCCGGGACGTCCGCTCAAAAGGCTGAACTAATTGCCCTAACCAAAGCTCTCACCTTGGCTCGAGGAAAAATTTAACTGTGTATACTGACAGCAGATATGCATTTGCCACGGCCCACGTACACGGGGCCATATATCGAGAGCGCGGGCTCTTAACCTCCGACGGCAAAGGCATTAAAACGCTCAAGAAATTATGGATCTCCTGGCAGCGCTGTGGCTACCACGTAAGCTGGCTATAGTACATCATCCAGGTCATCAAAAGGACTCCTCGACTCCAACTCAAGGTAATAAGCGGGCGGATGAGGCAGCACGCCAAGCTGCCCTAATGCCGGTAGATGCCCTGACAGTAAAACTCCCAGACCCAGGGGACCCGCAGCTGCCGGAAGACCCAGAGTATAGTGCTATGGACTTTGACTACATACAGTCTCTACCGGGTGCTTTTTCTTTGGGACACTGGTGGTACACCCAAGAACTAAGGCCATCTTGCCAGCACACTTGGCCACTGATCTCATTCAGCGCTTGCACCGAGCCACGCATTTGGGAGAGAGAAAAATTCTAACTCTAATCAGGCAATGGAACCTCCATGTCCGGGACGCAACCTGTACCGTGCGACAAGTAGTGGCATCCTGCCAGTCGTGTGCCATGGTAAACGCCACCAAGACAACCGGTGAACCAGGAATGAGGCCGCGAGGAACGCGCCCGGGGTCCATTGGGAAATAGACTTCACCGAGGTAAGACCAGGTAAATTTGGCTATCGATACCTGCTGGTCCTGGTGGACACGTTTTCCGGATGGCCGGAGGCGTTCCCGACAAGAGGTGAGTCAGCTCGAGTGGTAGCCAAAATCCTGTTGGAAAACATTTTCCTAGATTTGGGTTTCCAGTGACCATTGGGTCAGACAATGGACCAGCCTTTGTCTCTCAGGTATCGAAATCTGTGGCTTCTGCCCTGGGAGCAGAGTGGAAGCTCCATTGTGCCTATCGGCCCCAGAGTTCAGGGCAGGTGGAGAGAATGAACAGAACTTTAAAGAAACTTTAACTAAATTAACTTTAGAGTCTGGCGGGGACTGGGTGACTCTCCTTCCCTATGCCCTCTTCCGGGCTCGCAATTCCCCTTATCGTCTGGGTCTGTCTCCGTTCGAGATTATCTATGGAACCGCCCCCCCAACCACACCCGCACGGTGCGCAGTTAGCTTGTGATTTGCCTTCTGATTGTGAACTTTTTCTTTCTGTGTGGGCTGTACAGCAGGCTCACCAGGAGGTCTGGCCCCGCCTCAGAGCGCTCTATGAAGGGGGAGGACCTTCTCAGACAGCCCACATTTCAGCCTGGAGATCTTGTCCTTGTCCGCCGACACAAGACCGACGGTCGTGGCCTCCAGCCCCGGTGGAAGGGTCCCTACATCGTCCTCCTGACCACACCCACCGCACTCAAAGTGGACGGCATCGCGGCCTGGGTTCATCACTCACACGTCAAGACGGCACCAACTGACGACTCCCAGCTGCAGTGGCGAGCCCGGAAGCATCCCACCAATCCACTCAAGCTGACTCTTCAGGCGCTCCCGGCTACAACCCATCGCTCCCAGACCACTGCCCACGCCGTGAAAAATGACACCAAACTGTAATGTTGGCTACCTACTGTCCTTCCTTTGTTTTCTCCTTGTCGGGGCTGAC